TAATGATTTGGCTGAAGTGAAAGATATAACTTTGTCTATAACGACAGAATGTCGAAGAGAGGATAGAGCAATGAAACAGTTATGAGAACAAATTCCAAGTATTTTTCCATTCTATGGTAACCAGGATAATGTTTAAACAATGTCCATCACCAGCAGTCATTATAATACTGCAAGCAAGTGTTCAGGCAGCTGAAGTTTTCTTTAAGGGTAGGGATAATTCAAAAGAGGTGTTTGGCATGTCCTCTTTGATTGAGGCTTAGGACGAAGGTTCAGATGGAAGCAAGTTAACACAGACAGTTTACATTGAAGCTGAGGCTAAAGGATGTTCAAAATGGAATTCCGTCGAGCGAGTGGAGACGTTCTCACAAACCAGCAGATGAAGAGTTGACGGTTGTTCATCAGATTGTGATAGCATCTAGGAGCTATTGCAATTAGGATGTGCCATGAGATGCAGGAACAAGCATTGATAGACAGGCATTTTACACGGCCAAAACTTCATAAAGACCTAGTGCAATATGGCAAAGCATGCTATACAATAAGGTCATGGGAAAGTCTGAACATCTAATCAAACTGGCATCTTTAATACCCACACCAGCTTTTGAAGCCTCCCGCAAGAATGCAATTCTATACTCCCAATTCCTCCACCTCCGCCGCGTCTGCTCGCATGGTGGGGTCTTCCACTCCCGAACATTCCAGATGTCCTCCTGTTTCAAGGACCATAACTTCTACCCTCTGGTGATCAAAAATGCACTCAACTGCATCTCTTGCATTTCCCACACTTCTGCCATCACATCCCCTTCCCCCAACAGAAGACAGAATCCCCCTTGTCCTCACATACCACCCCACCAACTTCCTCATTCAACATATCATTCTCCGCCACTTCCGCCACCTACAATCCAATCCCACAATTAAAGATATATTTCCTTCCCCACCCCTATCTGCCTTTCATAGGGACCGCTCTCTCCACAACTCCCTCGTCTGCTCCATACTCCCCACTAACTCCATCACCCCCGGCACCTTTCCTTGCAATCGCAGGAAGTGCTACACCTGCCCCTACACCTCCCCCCTCACCTCCATTCAAGGGCAAAACAAACCTTCCATATCAGACAGAGGTTCACCTGCAATCTGTCAACTTGGTCTACTTGCTGCACCCGATGTGGCTCGATGGGACCAAGCGTAGACTTGGAGACCGTTTCATAGATCATCTGTGCTCTGTTCGCGACAAACGGCAGCATCTTCCAGTCGTCAACCATTTTAACCAACCCTCCCACTTGCTGGGTGATATGTCCATCCTGGGCCTCCTCCAGCATCACAATGAGGCCACCCGCATACTGGAGGAGCAGCATCTCACATTCTGCCTCGGGAGCCTACAGCCCGATGGCTTAAACACGGAATTCACCCGTTTGAAAATCTCCCCATCCCCGGCCTCATCCCATGTCCAACCCTCCCTCTCATCCCTCCCTCCTTGACCTGACACAAGCTGTGCATCTTCTCTCCCACCAATCTACCCCACCCATCCCACTGACCAATCCCCACCACTCCCTGTCTGCACTCACCTATCACCATCCCACCTACCTTCCCCAGCCTCATCCCTCCGCTCTCTATTTATTTACAAACTCCCTTCCCCCTCCCTGTTTCCGAAGAAAGTTCCCAATCTGAAACGTCAACTTTCCTGCTCCTCTGATGCTGCCTGGCCTGCTGTGTTCCTCCAGCTCCACACTGTGTTGCCTCAGACTCCAACATCTGCTATTCCTGCTATCTGTTATCTGGTGATAGTCTTGATGACAAGAAGAAGAGTCATTAATGTCACATGAACATGTTAAATTAATATTATCGTAGAGAGGAAGATAAGGAAAAGGTCCAGTGGTAAGTGTGGTGGAGATTGACAGAGACAGCAGTAACAGTGAGGAGAAAGAGAATTCACAGAGCAAACATTCTACAATTCAACTAGCCAACACTGAAATACCGGATAGTTCATATTCAGAGTTTGGACAACAGGATGACCTTGTAGAGTTAATTAGGAAATTCAAGGAAATCTGTAGAGATACACCAGGGTGTACAATGTTAGCCACTCATTTTGTGTATGTTAGGGGAGCCAGTATCAATAAAACAAATGCAATACATGGTAGAAAATCACTTGTTGGAACCAAGTGAAAGTAACTGGAGTTCACCAGTCATATTAGTTTCTAAACTGGATGGGTTGACTAGATCCTGTAGAGATTACAGAAAAGTAAATGCAGTTAACAAAACAGATTAATACTCAGTTCCTCTGTTTGTAGATTGCATTGATTGGCTTAGCAGTGCCTCATTCCTTACTAAGATTAATCCATTAAAGAAGTACTATTAACATCAAGAGCTGAAGAGATATCAGCTTTTGTTACACCAAATAGGTTACGTCAGTGTTTTATCATGTTATTTGGGTTTAAAAATACCCCAGCTACATACAAAAGGCTAGCTAAAGCGCGTAACTGTGTAGTTTATTTAGTGGATGCTATGATATATGGCACACCTAAAGGACATGTAAAACAAATAAGATATAGTAACAAAAGTAACAAGTAACTATGTTAAAAAAAACAGAAGACATATTTAAACAGCTACAATTAACTGGTAACAAATCTTTTCCAGAGTGTGTTTGTAAAATTGAGAGTAACTTTCCTAGCTCACATCCTAGGGTGTGGGTAATTGTGAAGGCTCTGATAGAATTCCCCATTTTTAAACCAAACAGGGAATCATGAGATTACTGGAATGTTTGATTTTTGTTGAAAATTAGCACCTTGTTCTTTTGTTAGCTAGTGTTCAAAATGAGGCAAATTGACTATCTCGACCATTACATTGGTCATTGTTAAATTTGTGATGGTTTCTGTGAACAGTAGGGTCTGATTTTCAGTATCCTCTGACAACATACAAGTGCACACATATGTGGGTACTCAAAATCCATGTGCACGCCCTCATGGGTACACACATGGATGCACCAACTTACTAAACAAGTTCATTTATAAATGTATGTCAATGTAAAAACTAATTAGTGACAGTTTCTAAAAGTCTAATGAAACAATTCTAACCTAGTCATGAGAAATCTGAATGCTCAGCAGATGGAAGTTCAGTGGAGGGGGTACATAATTAAAATGTAACTCCCTATCTGCCCTTCTACAAATACTACATGGGAAAGAACATAACCATGTATAAATTCTAATGAAAAAACAAGACAGTAAATGAGTTCTAATGATGGAATATTAAAACAGGAAAAGAAGGGAGAGGAACAGTGAATGAGAACTGGCAGATTTTAAAATTAGACCAGCTAATTTAATTCTCCACAGCCATTTATAACTTTAATTTCTTCCCTCGGACATGGCTGATACTGGCTGCATTGACAGTTGGAAGGTAACCAGCAGGTCAGCCAAGGAGCAGGCCATAAAACAAGTCAGTGAGCAAAGTTTCTGATCAGCCACTTATTCTGACCTCCTCATTTATCAAACGGTTGTTGTTATGCCTTTGTCCCTTACTATGGTCACTCTGAATGGGGTTAGATGTCCCAAGATTTGTTAAATTTATGAGAATTCATAACACTCATTAAGCTCTTGTCTAAACAAAGTTAACAACTCAACTCTGCCTCAGGGTGAAGGCAAATTTGGAAAAGAAGCCTCGTTTCTCAGCATCTTGGACTTTAATTCAACTCTGTGAAGAATAATAAATCTCCAGCAGATATAAAGCTTCATTCTGGTATCTCAAGCACCTGTCTGTCTGCAACCTATTAATACACTGCTTTGAAAAAAAAAATACTTGCTAGTAAAAAGTTTCACTGTAATTCTGCCAAACAGAAATTTGGATTGATGATTTGGTCAGTTCTTAATGAATGACAGCATGACAATAAATCCACTGGGAGACCACAGGAGCAGCAATTTTCTCTTGGTTGATGCAGCTGGATTGTCACTAATGAGGCTAAGTTAATATTTTTATACATGGAAGTGGAATTATTCCTTGAGAACTTGCCCCAGCCAGACGTTAGATTCAAGGTCATGGGAGAGAAATTCTCATGCTTTATCTGTATGTCACAAAGCTCACCAATATCTCGGTGCAGAAATTGTGCACATTTTACAAACTTATAGAATACATTGTGCAGGTTTGTATTCTCTGTGTGGTCCCTCACTCTCAGGGAGGGTAAGGGAGCTGACAACAGAATTTGGGCACATTCGTCCCCACCTCACACAATTAGAAAGAAACAACTTGCCTTTATTACAGCTCCACCGGCAATCAAGAAGCATGCAAATATCCAGGACAAAGTAACCCACCTGACTGGCATTGTAAACATCCACTCCCTCCCCACTGATACTCAGTAACAGCAATGCACTGCATGATGCACTGCAGAAAATCACAAAAAGATCCTCAGACAGCACCTTCCAAATCCCTGACCACTTCCATCTAGAAGGACAAAGGTAGCAGATACATGGGAACATCACCGCCCGCAATTCCTTCTCCAAGCCACTTACTATTCTGAGTTGGAAATATATTGCCATTCTTTCACTGTAACTGCATCAAAATCCTAGAATTCCCTTCCTAAGGGCACTGCAGGTCAACGTACACCAAATGGATTCCGATTCTGGTTGAGGCAACCTTTCTGTGAGGACATTGTCCACAACCTGCCATACTGATACACAATGCCCCACACTCTCATTCAAAAAAAACCCACCCCTTGTTCCCCATGCTTACACACAATCCCCCACCCCATCAACATAAACAACCCCACCCTACTGTTCCCATGCCTACACACATTTCCCCATCCCCATACATCAGCCACGCAGTCCACACACACTCCATCTCTCGTGTACACTTCATCTCCCTGACACACACTCTGTATCCCACACACACTCCGTTTCCCACACACCTCCGTTTCCAACACATTCCATTTCCCACACACACTCTGTATCCCGCACACGTTGCATATCTCACATATCCGTTTCCCCTTCTAAGTTAAAAAGTCAGAGAAGATAAGGCTCTGGTACCTGTGTCCTTTTTCTTGTCCCGTGATAATTCATGAACCGTGCCGCTGATTTCTTGTCGCAAGCTGTTGAGGATCTCCTCAAGGCTAGTGATATCTTTACAGTCCAGGTCGATGAAGAACTCATAGTGTCCCTTTTTGAAGCGGGAAGGCCTTGATTCAATGTGAGTGAGATTCACACCCTTTTCCTGCCAAAAGCAAAGAAATAAATGTCTGAGATAGTAGGAACTGCCGATGCTGGAGAATCTGAGATAACAAGGTGTGGAGCTGGATGAACACAGCAGGCCAAGCAGCATCAGAGGAGCAGGAAAGTTTCGGGTCTGGATCCTTCTTCAGAAATAAGTGCTTGTGTTTTTTTTAGGAAAGTACCTTCAAAAGGATTTGTTGAAGGAAAATAAATTCACTCATTCTGGTTGCTGCAAAGTGATTCACAACTATTGCATAGCTAGCTCCCACACACATTGATAATGACTGGGTCATTTTTTCTGAGTGATTTGAAGTGATGGATAAATATTGAAGCAGGTCATTGAATTAAACTTCCCTGCTCTTCCTCCAACTGTGTCGTGGGGTCTTTTACATCCATCAGAGCTAGCAGACAGGGTCTCGACTTAGTATCTCATCTGAAGGATGACAATTTCATCCATGAGCACTTCCTCAGCACTGGATAGAATAAGATCAGAGGGAACTGGAGCAGAAGTAGGCCATTCAGCTCATTGGCTTCTCTGACAATCAACAAGAGCATGGCTCATCTGATTGTGGTTTTAGCTTTACATCCCTATCTGCTCTGATGAGCCCAATAACCCTTGACTTTGAGTATGTTTAATGATCTGGCCACTATTAAACTCTTGGAAATAGATTTCCAAAGTCTTACAGCCCTCTGAGAGAAGAAAGTCTTCCTCATCTCCCTTTCAATGAGAGGCCCCCTTCTTTTGAAACTGTATCCCATAGTTATAGACTCCCCCAAAAGGGGAAACATCCTCTCATCAGCAATCATGACAAACTCCCTTAGAAACTTGTATGTTTCAATAAGATCAGCTTTCAATTTCCTAAATTCCAGTGAGTATTGGCTTAACCTGGTCAACGTTTCCTCATGAGACAACCCCTTCATCCTGGGAATCAGCAGAGTGAACCTTCTCTGAACTATTTACAAAGTGCATCATCCTTAAGCAAGGAGACCAAAGATGTTCACAGTGCTCTAAGGGGAGTCTCACTAATGCCCTGCACAGTTGCAGGAAGCCTTCCAAACTTTTTTTTAAACTTTGAACCACTGTCAATAAAAGCCATTTGCATTCCCAATTTCTTGCTGTACCTGCACGGTGATGTTTAATGGTTCATGAAAAAGGACACCCAGATCCCCTATATCTGAGTTCTGTAAACTTACTTCATTAAAATAATATTCTCCTTTTCTAGTATTTGACTGCAAGTGGACAAGTCCACATTTTCCTACATTGTCCACTCATCTCACCTGTCTGTATCCCTTTGCAGATTCTTTGTATTTTTCTCTCGGCTTGCGTTCCCACTTATCTTTGCACCATCAGCAAATTGGCTGCAAACAGTGCCTCATCATCCAAATCATTAATAGAATAGAATAGAAATTTATTGTGAAGTGTACTTTTGCATGAAAAATACAGTGAAATGTTTTACAAGTCACCCCACCATGACACCTGTATTAATGACAGAAGTAATACATAATAATACAAAAAAGCAAAATTAAGACAAATTTCATCACAGTTAATGGCTCCTGGGCTTGGGGAAAGCTGATTAAGGAACAATGGAATACCCTGAAGATGCAACCAGGAGGATTTCACCATTCTGGGCTGCAGGAATACCTGGATGTTGAAGACAAAGAAGACCACATGGGGACAAGATCTCAATGCCAAGATAAGACTGTCACACAGGAGAACCACCACACAGGGAGATTGCTATGCCAGAGCGAGGCCACCTTTCTCCTGTTTCAGGCACCTGGGCTATCTGCAGAGCTGTGTCTTTGCCCTAGCCTGCAGGGCGAGGCTTGGAAAGTCAGCCTGGGACCTGTTCTTCACTTGCTAGGAGACCCCGGGCTGGGGTAGAGCTGTGTCAAACTCATCCTGGCATTGCTGCCACTGCCGCTAGAGGCTTAATAGAAGAGAAAGCGAAGATAAGAAAGAAAAAAAAGGAAAAAAAAGAAAAAGAGCAAAAGTAAAAAAGTAAAAGTAAAAAGAGCATTAAAAAAAAGATAGAAATCCAATTGCAGCAGACAAGCCCCTGGCTCAGCTCTCCTACTCTGCCACCATCTTGCTTGATTGAAGAGTGCAAGAAGATCATAACATAGATCATAGCTGAGGTCTAAGCTCTCATCCCTGTGGCCACTAGTTACAGCTTGTCACCCGAAAGATCACTAATTAATCCTGACTTTGTTTCCCATTCATTAACCAATTCTCCATTTGTGCTAAAGTACCAGCCTTAATGATCTCAGCAAGAACCTTCTAGGTTGCACCACATCAGATGTCAATGCTGATTACACCACCAAGTATAAGGTGCAATACTATTGGGGTTATTTGCTGGATTAACAATCTCGACATCATGAGTTCAAATCCCAACAGGACTGTTGGAAAATTTCAACTCCATTTGAAGAACCTGGGAAGTATGGAAGAAGTCTCCAATCCCACTCTTGTTCTATATGTGACTCTTGGGCCTCACCAAGCTGTGTGTTCTTAACAGCCTGTGGTGGGGCACAACGCGACATTCAGTTGCACCAAGCCTTCAGGAAGGGGAATAGACTGAGTGCTGCAGCGATGTCTTCATTGGGTAGACTGCAGCAGCTCCAGGGGGTGACCAATTCCCACCTTCTCAAGTGACCATGTGGGATAAGCAATAAATATTGGCCTTGCTAGCAATCCTGAACCCACATTCCATAACAGAATTAAAGACTAGAGTTTTTAACAACAGGTCCCAAAGAAGAGCCTTTGGACTCAAAGCATTAAATCTGTTTCTTTGCCCAGAGATTCTGCCAGACCTGCTAGGTTTCTCCAACAGTCTTTGCATTTATTCAGATTTCCAGCACCTTCAGTATTTTCTTCTAGTTAGATTTTTTACAATCTCTTCTGTTTAGTGCCATCCCATTTCTTGAATTTAGTGGTACACAACTTGTCCTACCTGGTAGGATCTGAGCTAGGAGGTGAGTACCCTTGATTGGCCAGCTTCATATCTGAATGTTAATATACTGCACACAATATTGATATGCAATGAGGAGACCTGAGGTAGATGTGGGCTGCTTAGGTGAAAATAAGGAAAGTCATTTTAAAAATTTGTTCATGGAATGTGGGATTTGCTGCCCAGGCCAGCATTTATTGCCTGTCCCTAGTTGCCCTTGAGAAAGTGGTGGTGAGCTACCTTCTTGAAATTCTGCAGTCCATCAGAATTTTAATTAACTTTATTGTCACATGTACTCAGATGAGTACAGTGAAAAGTGTACAAGTCGTTGCTAATGGAGCCATCTTAGGTACAGAGATCCCTAGATACAGCTTTTTCAGTTACAGTTCTTGGAAAAATAGAGAAGTTAAAAAATCTAGCTTTGTAGATTTCAGGAATGAATTATAAAAAGGAGATGTGCTGTAGGTAGACCCACAATGCCCTTAGGGAGGGAATTCCAAGATTTTGACCCAGTGACAGTGAAAGAATGGTGATATATTTCCATGTCAGGATGGTGAGTAACTTGGAGGGGAATGTATAGGGGGTGGTGTCCCCATATATCTGCTGCCCTTGTCCTTCTAGATGATGGAGTCATGGGTTTGGAAGGTACTGCCTGAGGATCTTTGATGAATTTCTGCAGTGCATCTTGTAGATAGTACACACTGCTGCTACTCAGTGTCGGTGGTGGAGGGAATGGGATGTTTGTGGATGTGGTGCCAATCAAGCGGCTGCTTTGTCCTGGATGGTGTCAAGCTTCTTGAGTGTTGTTGGGGCTGCACCCATCCAGGCAAGTGGGGAGTATTCCATCACACTCCTGACTTGTGCCTTGTAGATGGTGGACAAGCTTTGGGGAGTCAGGAGGTGAGTTACGCACTGCTGAAACTGCTGAAAAAGCTCAGCAGGTCTGGCAGCATCTGTGGAGAGAAAGCAGAGTTAATGTTTCGGGTTGAGTGACCTTTCCTCAGAACTGTTAAATGTTAACTCTGATTTTTCTCCACAGATGCTGCCAGACCTGCTGACCTTTCCCAGCAACTCCTGCTTTTGTTCCCAAGGCTGTGGGTTTCACTTCATTAATACTGTAAGACCATCCCTTGATAAAGATCCTTTGCAAAGTCTTATAGTTACACATCTTCTGCAGCTGCTGATTTTAACTGTTCACACTGGCCCTGACCAAAGCATAAGATTTTGCCTGGAGAATGCCTTAAACTTTGTTGTCTCAAGCCTTAAATATAACATCACCATAGTCTTACCAGACCATAGGGCTGCTGTCTCATTACAGAGATACAGAGACACGACTGGTGATGGTTTAACTGAGGTCAGAGGAAATGTTGGGAAGGAAAATCCTGCATTGCAACCTCAGCTGTTGCAGGACTTAGAATCACTACAGTGTGGAGGCAGGCTATTCAGCCCATCGAGTCCACACCAACTCTTAATTTCCTGCAGCTAATCTACCTAACCTGCACATCTTTGGACTGTGGGAGGAAACTAGAGCACCCAGAGGAACCTCACACAGACATGGGGAGAATGTGCAAACTCCACACAGACAGTTGCCTGAGGGTGGTATCAAACCTGGGTTCCTGGAGGAGTGAGGCAGCAGTGCTAACCACTGAGCCACTGTGCCATCCTAAATTGAATTGAATTGAACCTTCGCTATTGACGTCAGTTGACATTGCACACCAGCCACCAACTAGGCTAACGTACCACCATGCTCAAGCAGTAACATGTAGATCAAGAAGAATATCTTTGTGTGAGCTGGGTAACCTACTCAGTATGTGAACCATAATCATCCTGGTACCTGACTGTCTTCTCATTTCAAAGTCATATCCTTCATCTTGACACGGAGACACTGCAAATATGGTGATGCATTCATTCATAATTTGTGGCAGATCATTTCAACAGTGAATTTATTGCAGTTCAGATGAATGAGGGGAATCTCATAGAGACTTATAAAACTCTAACAGGACTGGACAGGATAGATGCAGGGAGGATGTTCCCGATGGTGGGTGTGTCCAGAACC